GTTATGTTTTAGTATTGCACTGCGTTTATGTATTGTTAGTGTTAATAAATCATATTGTTTATATCATATCTGGAGTCTGCGTTTCCCTGCGTCAGTCACATACCTCTGGTCATACCCTGGAGCCCTGACACTTTAATCAGAATCCTCACATTTTAAAACTTTTAAAACTGCTTTAAATAACATACAGTAGCCTTGCTGCCATCCAGGAAATGTCCAGTAACTAACAGGTGATCTTTTCCCTTTTCCAAAATGGCCACCGGTCAACCTCCGGTTCCCATCTGCGTCTTGACATCACTTCCCTTGACGCCTTTTGTCAACGACTTAATCATTATGATGGGTTATTCGCTTGAGTGATGTCACATATTTATATGTAGTTTAAAAGATAATGCACTATGTGATGTTTCTTTTTCTTTGAGGGAACATTACCGTGGAAATCATTGGAAGGATTATATATATTTTTTGGACACCAATTTGTCACTGTTATCACACAAGAAGGCTATGGTTTATTTTGTGGACTCTTTAGAGATTGGACTGTACTTGCAGAGTATTTTCTGAGGATTCAACTATTTAATAGCATTTTCTGTTTATTAATATTTATAACTCGTCAGGGGTGAAGGTGTTGATGGTGATGTGCGGAGTTGAATTTATATCCATTTATATTCATTTAGGAAGTGGTTTTATTTAATATTATACATTCAATAAAATAGTACTTTCTGAGTTTTGAACTTTCCTTCAGTTAGGAAACTGAAGAAAAGTTCAAGACAACTCATACACTTGATTTTCTTGCACTGATACAGCCCTACTAATTGACTAAAGAAGCCAAGTCTAATCCTAGAATTAAAATGATTACTCAACTTACTGGGGCTATCCTGGACATCGCATTAAGCACTTTTCAGTAAACAAACCTAGGTTTATCAGGTAAATGAGGACCTAGTTTTGGGTCTTGTTTAAAGAATATGTAAACTGAACATTTCAAATTTCTGATATCTTAGTATTTCCTTTTTGTGCAATCCAACACTGGTCAAAGATAAGTCTGCATAAAACATGAGTGAATACACACTTAAGGGGTTAGACATAAAAATGGAAACACTACATGATTTGCAGGTGTGAAAGTGACCACATGTTTCGCAGTGAAAGTGGAAATGAGGTAACATTCTTTTGTCCCGTGAAGATGGAGATTAAGCTCAGCAGTCACTTTTGTAGCAGTTGTAAGTTGACCACCCTTATGCTTTTCAGACAATGTTTTCCCAGAAACTGTATATGCCGTCATAACCTTTGATACTGTACCTCATGATATGGCAAATAAATTGGCAACCAGGGGCGGACTGACCATTTGGAAACTTGGGCACTGCCCGAGGGCCCAGGGTCAGTAGGGGGCCCCATGAGATGCCCCTGGTACCTTTTTCATAGGCTTTTTTGAGTTTGGGCAAGGACACAGGGGCCCCATGATCCCCTATTGCCTGGGGGCCCCATGAGTTGTCAGTCCGCCCCTGTTGGCAACTTCAGTAACAGAGGCACCAGCTAAGTGAGCACAACAATGTTTGGCAGAGGTGAAAAATGTGGGACTTTTTGTTTAAGGAATTAAGGACTGGACAATGAAGAGAGTAATAAAAGTTCAGGGTGTAATTCCATTAGTCCATATTTGGAGGGAGGTGACTACATCCAGTGAGGCAGCTGTTCCTCAGAGTTTGCAAGCTTTGTGTAGAAAGATAGGAAAGGGGACAAGGGAGGCGCCACTAAGTGTAGTATTAGTATGGAGTTTATTCAGCAAAGGATAAGAAACACTCAAAAGAAATTAGATAAAAGATCACTTGTCATCATAACAGCACCGGTCCTATGCAGCTCAGAGTTTAGGAGGGAATCCTTCTTGCTACGGATGGAGGCACAATCACAGTGTCTGCTGATGAACCGGAAGGCATCTACGGGTGGAAATGATGTCACTGGACAAGGAAAGGTGCAAACAGGCAACACACTCTCTGGCAACTTCTACAGACCGAAACCTAAAACCACTTTCACACCTGTTGCCACTTTCACACTTGCAAATCATGTAGTGTTTTCATTTTTTGTCTAATGCCTGTATATGAACTTGATTTGTATTGATGTTTATAATTTTTTATTGATTGGTTGTGCACATTGATTGTACTCTTTACATTGATCGTTCACAAATAAGTTCACATGGATCACAAGTTATTGCAAATTTATATGAGTTTGATATTCTTTATAGATATATGCATGCCGAAAATGTTTGCTTCATTCAGCTGTGGATGCATTCATGCATTGAAGAATTTTGTTTTGTCATATTCGTTAAGTTGAACCAATTCATTTCATATCTTCAACATTTATTTTGTCTATTCGTTGGTCCGGGTGGATTTGAAACATTTTAAAGTTTCACCTTGGGTCTGAACTATTATAACATCATAAAATCACCAAACGTGACCATATGCCATCAAAATTAAACAAATGCATCCATTAATTTTGTTATAACTTATTTCTTGGATTCATTGACATTTGTTGCTATGTCCATTCAGAGATTTGTATACATCCGAATCTCCTAAGATTAAAGTTTCATCTGAAAAACTAATCGTAATGAAAATAAATGCACATGTCTAGTTCTTTATTTATTGATGCTGATTGTTGTTTATTGATCAGTTGTGCATATCGATCGCACTGCTTTACATTGATTGGTTTTTATCAATTGTACTTTGCAGTTGTATTAATTGCAATGTTTATACACTGCTCAAAGAAAATTAAAGGTACACTTTTTAATCAAAGTATAGCATCAAGTCAATAAAACTCCTGGAATATTGATCTGGTCAGTTAAGTAGCAGAGGGGGTTGTTAATCAGTTTCAGCTGCTCTGGTGTTAATTAAATTAACAATAGGTGCACTAGATGGGCAACAGTGAGATGACCCCCAAAACAGGAATGGTTTTACAGGTGGAGGACACTACATTTTTTTCCCCTACTCATCTTTTCTGACTGTTTTTCACTATTTTGCACTTGGCTAGGGTCAGTGTCACTACTGGCAGCTTGAGACGATACCTGAACTCTACAGAGGTTGAACAGGCAGTCCAACTCCTCCAGGATGGCACATCAATACGTGCCATTGCCAAAAGGTTTGCTGTGTCTCCCAGCACAGTCTCAAGAGCATGGAGGAGATTCCAGGAGACAGTTACTCTAGGAGAGCTGAACAGGGCCATAGAAGGTCCTTAACCCATGCTCCTTTGAGCAGGGAGGAACAGGATGAGCACTGCCAGAGTCCTACAAAATGACCTCCAGCAGGCCGCTGGTGTGAATGTCTCTGATCAAACAATCAGAAACAGACTTCATGAGGGTGGTCTGAGGGCCCATCGTCCTCTAGTGGGCCCTGTGCTCACTGCCCAGCACCATAGAGCTCGATTGTCATTTGCCATTGAACACCAGAATTGGCAGGTCCTCCACTGGCGCCCTGTGCTTTTCACAGATGAGAGCAGGTTCACCCTGAGCACATGTGACAGACATAAAAGGGTCTGGAGAAGCTTTGGAGAATGTTATGCTGCCTGTAACATTGTTCAGCATGACCATTTTGGTGGTGGGTCAGTGATGGTCTGGGGAGGCATATCCAGGGAGGAACACACAGACTTCTACAGGTTAGACAATGGCACTCTTACTGCCATTAGGTATCGGGATGAAATCCTTGGATCCATTGTCAGACCCTACACTGGTGCAGTGGGTCCTGGGTTCCTCCTGGTGCACGACAATGCCTGGACTCATGTGGGGCAGTTCCTGGAGGATGAAGGTAATTAATACCACTGAATGGCTCCCATGCTTGCTGACCTAAATCCAAAAAAAACACCTCTGGGATATCATATTTTGATCCATCCAACACTGCCAGGTTGCACCTCAGACTGTCCAGGAGCTCAGTGATACAGTGGTCCAGATCTGTGAGGAAATACCCCAGGACACCATCGGCCGTCTCATTAGGAGCATGCCCCGACATCAGGCATGCATACAAGCATGTGGGGCCATACAAAATATCATTTTGAGTTGCTGCAATTAAATTACAGCAAAATGGGCTAGCCTGTTGCATAATTTTTTCACTTTGACTTTTGGGGTGTCTTTGAATGTCTTTGTAGGTTGATAATTTTCATTTCCATCAAATGATGGGGCATTCTTATGTTTCTAACACTTTGCCCAGTCCATATTAGTATAGATATCCAGCATGATATTTTTCCCCATTGAGATCTGATGTGTTTTCAAAGTGCTCCTTTAATGCTTTTGAATAGTGTACTTTGTTTGCATTTTTCGTCAGTATGCACCTTATTAGGGTTTATTTGTTTGGGGACACATGAAATTTTACATATATAGAAGTTAATTTATCCTCTCAGCGCAGCACATTTCAAACACAAACAAAGCAGAAATGACTGATAATCTATCTGATCAGTGAAATAACATTATGCAATGCATAACTTGCTTGGAGGAGATTAAATCAAATTTATGGAAGCTCTGACGTTATGGAGCTTGCCTTGCATGAGAGGCTTCAGAAGATTCCAAAGGTTTCCAATGAAGACAACCAGAAGTTCCAAGAACAAAGCAAATATCCCCCTAAACTTGTAATAGCCACATCTACTAGATCTTAACTACCTAGATACTGTACACAGTGGGGTGGTGCAGACAGTGGTTATTGCCATACAATATACAAGAAGGATGGACTACAGCTGTTTCCAAGTACAATGAATGACAGCTAGTTTCCTTTTCAACCTTTTCTTTCTTCGCAAGGTTCATTAAAGACTTAGCCAGAGCTAAGAATAATCCAGGTTATCAACCTACACATTTCTAGCCCTCCAACTACAAGAAGAGAAAATGTCAACACTACATACAGAGAACCTGGAAATATTGTGTCTGTTAAAAAAATGGTTGTTACATCCACTACAAGCAAGAGTGAATAACGATGAAAAGACCCAAATTCCTACTGTCTCATTCAAAACAAACCACATCCTCTCAGAAAGCATTGTACATTAAGGAAAGCACTTTGAAGAACACAGGGAGTTTCCAAGGAACCAGGACATTTTCTTCAGATGTTGCACATCCGTGGAGCACTTCTCCAGAAACTCCAAGGATATAGTCAAGTGCTCAGAAGTGACAGATATGTATCAGCCAGGGGCAGACTGACCATTTGGAAACTCAGGCACTGCCTGAGGGCCCAGGGTCAGTAGGGGGCCCCATGAGATGCCCCTGGAACTTTTTTCATAGGCTTTTTTGAGTTTGGGCAAGGACACAGCGGCCCCATGATCCCCTATTGCCCGGGGGCCCCATGAGTTGTCAGTCCATCCCTGGTATCAGCCTTACATTGAAGCCACTTTAAATGAGTCTATGCATACACTTATCAGCCACTTTATTAGGTACAATTGTTCAATTGCTTGGTAACACAAATTGCTAATCTGCCAATCACAAGGCAGCAGCACAATGCATTTGGACATCTAGACATAGTGAAGACGACTTGCTGAAGTTCAAACCAAGCATCAGAATGGGGAAGAAAGCGGATTTAAGTTACTTTGAATGTGGCATCGTTCTTGGTGCCAGACTGGCTAGTCTGAGTATTTCAAAAACTGCTAATCTACTGGGATTTTCATGACAACCATCTCTAAGGTTTACAGAGAATGGTCTGAAAAAGAGAAAATATCCAGTGAGTGGCAGTTGTGTGGTTGAAAATGCCTTTTTGATGTCAGAGGTCAGAGAATGAGCAGATAGTAACTCACAGTAACTCATGTCAATATGGATCAAAATCTCTGAGGAATGTTTCCAACACCTTGTTGAATCTATGCCATGAAGAATTAAGGCACTTCTAAAAAAAAAGGGGGGCCCAACCCGGTACTAGCAAGGTGTACTTAATAAAGTGGCTGGTGAGTGTACACCGAAGATCTTACACTGTCTGATCATGGTAGGGAGCAGTCACCTCCAACACTTGTAAATAAATACAGTGAGTTATGCTGCAAAAGACTTTCAGTTAAAAACATTGCTAAAATATGTCTGGGAAAAGTGTTTCCTTGCGGACAACCAGAGAAAGCTGTACAGTATGTATGCTTTTGAGATAAACAAAGTAGTCATTTGTTTGCCACTAGACATGTACATGCAAGAAAATGTGGTTTAGTTTCACATGCATTCGTTAGATTGATAATTTTATTTCTTCTTATTCGTTGTGTTGATCCGATTAACTTTTAGGATTCATTTTGTTTCTTTAGGATTTGTTTCTTATATTTTTTAGACCAGGTGGATTGTAAGAGTTTTACAAATTGTTTCCAAAGATTTGATAAGTTTTTGAAATGATCCAAATTCGTTGTGAATAGCTGATTGTTAAGGAGTGAGTGTCTGCTATGTCCTCAACAACCATGACTCATCTTTTATATTTATATTGTAAAGCGCTGAGCAAACTGTTGGCGCTGTATAAATCCTGTATAATAATAATAATCTTTTGTCAGCAAAAACTGCTGTCAGTAAACCAAACAAGTGCCAGCATTACAAAATGAAAAAAAACAAAAAACAAACTGAGGGTTTCCCCCAATTTATACCATGCTTTTTGGGTCTGGTATCGATCTTGAGGGGAATCCCATGATGTTTTTTTTTAATGGCATGGAGTCCCCCTTAAAATCCATACCAGACCCATAAGCATTTCTATTTTCATTATAATTTTTTTTTCAGATCTTTTACCATTCATTTCTATATCCATTTGGAAATTCAGATACATTAGAATCTCCAGAAATTACATTTTTATTTGAGAAAAGAATCAAAAAAGGAACTCATTGCACATATCTATTTTCCACTTCATAGTTAGTTCACATGTTCAATGTAAAGGGAGTTGTAATGTTCTATACCTTGCACACACGTGCTAGCAGAGAAGAAAGCACAGGAAGGATTGCCCCTTCTGGAGATCTCATTATTTCAAACATAAATTGGACTGAAGGAATTCAGCTTCATTCATTTATTGAGTGCAGTGATACCAAATGAGAAAGAGGAAATCCCTACTCCAGAAGATGAGCATCGCATGTATGACCCTAAAGTTTCTAAACAGGTCTACATACCCTCATTGGAAGAAAAAACACAAATAATGCTACTACTGGGAAGAGACATTCCAAGAGTCTAGAAGCTACAAAAACAGTGCACAATCCTCATGCCCAAAAGACCAATTTAGGCTGGGATCTTATTGGTGCTCTTTGTTCCAGACAGAAACAGAATTCAATCACTGTCCACAACAATTGTTGAAAGAACTCAGGGCATCCCCTTCATCTACCAAAACCTGTGCTTCGGAATCCCAGAGGAGATAACCACTCTGTTAACGAGACTTCCAGAGAGCATTCAAGGCTACATCAGAGAATCATCTTACATCAGCGTCAGTGAGAGAACATCTCAAACTTGTACTGACAGCAACAAAACGTATATTTTAAAAGGTGTCCAGGAATACAGTGGGTCTAAGAGAGTATGTCAATGCGTAAAGTGGCATTTGAAACAGAACAAGCTGCATGCATCATGGTTAGGTCCCACTCTGATCCAGTCCACTACAGAAGAAACTTTAAAATGCTGCATCACCATTGCATTAAAATACAACATGTATGCATTTTAATGCAACACAGGTCAATACAGCATTGTAGTGTGAATAGGACACATATCTATCTACGCATTTACCTGCATTTTACAAGTACACTAAAAAGCATATCAATACAAATCAATGTGCGTTAAAACATGCATAAAATGGATGGAAATGTACATCCATTTTCCCTGCATTTTGCTGCAAGTCAGTGTGAATTCAGCCTACGATGACTCCGCCATCTCTGTTGTAAAGGTGGCCCTGGCAACTCTTTATGCAGATACAGAAGTACAACGTTAGTGATAAAAGTACTTTTTTTATTAATATTTCTGTGTCTTATTTATTACTTATACATTTATTGCTCATGTTTCCATGGTCACACATAACAGATCTTTTTTTTTTATGCACTTCCGGTCTGCCATCCTAACATCCTGCGTCACTTCCGGTGAGTGGAACGCACACTGAGCGGTGCGTTCCAAGCGGCCATCTTTGGAGTTGATCCTGTCATTCCTTGCTATGCCAGGCTGTGAGATCTCTGTGATGAGATGTGGAAGCAGTGTTATCTATGTTAGCCTATGGAGGCAATAAAACAGATGCTTTTATCCTTTTTGCTAAATGTGAGTGGTCTGGCAATTCTTATCAATTATTGCAATTTGTAATAGCAGTATTACACTATCATAATTTTTTTCCCTTGCACTGCTGTGGAGTTTGGTGAGAGGAGAAGGCAGGAGCGAGTGGAAAGAATATTCAAACCCTATATGGTGGGAAAGAGTACTGAAGGCTTCCAAGAAAGGGGGCTTAGAATCCCAAAACATCCTAAAAGGCGCATTACTTACCATCATCTGGTGAGTGCGGTTGATGTTGGTTTTGTTCACTGGTGATTGGTGCAAGCATTATTTTGTTTGGATATCTGTTTTTTTCACAATCCGTTGGGAGAAAGGAACTTTTCTTTAATATAATTTGGAAACTTTTTTGAAAGTATTTTATTATATGTTCAGTTGATGTCACTATATAAATAATTAACATTTTTGTCATTTACGCTGTATAATATGTATGGCACTGTTTTAGTCAGGGGGTGTTTTGCGCTGTTTTTTTTAATATATTTTTATTTTTTGGTGTATTTACCTGTGTGCAGCAACAATCCATAACCTGGGTTTAATTAATTGTGTGGGGGTACACTTGTGTGCAGGGGTTTCTGTATATCTACTCATAACAGATCTTTTACCCATAAAAAACAAATTTTCACTACAGTGGAATTTCTGAATCTCTACACTATTGAAATATAACACATGACATTATTCTGATACCACCTCATATGCCTGTTTTCGCTGATTATACTGTTTTCCTGTGGCTGTAGGGGAAAATAGTACAGTATCTGATATGAGGCAGTGACTAATAGGCTCATTGTTTTTAATCTAGAAGTTTTTCAATCTAGAAGGTAATTCATAATGATTAATACGCTTATATTCTGAAAAGTCTGTAAAACAGTTAGAGCATAACATCACAGGATCAGAAATTTCTGTGGTTATCATACTAAACACTAGATGTCACTAAAGCTACATTATATTTGTAATAATATACAGAACTGTTTGAACAGTGCAAAGGTTTATACGTTCATATGTCAAAATAGCAAAAGTAACCTTACTTCTTTCTAAGCAAATCTATTTTATGCTTTCAAGCATCAGTCTGATCATGAATTATAATTTTTTCCATATAAAAACACATTTTTTTTTTGGTAGGGGGTTTTATTGCTAGTAAAATTATACAAATGTATATTTGCTTTCATATCTAAGAGCAAAGGAACAAGAATATTCAGTCCCCTTTACTGCCCACCAACATCCAAACATAATGAAGTTATAAATAATTTTAGACTGATTACAAAGTCTTAGGCTAGGTCAGAGCTATTCAGAAACTTGAATTTCAAGCCATGAAAAATTTGCAAACTAAGTACATATGTTAGTTACCTTTTTCATAGGCTTTTTTGAGTTTGGGCAAGGACACAGGGGGCCCCATGATCCCCTATTGCCCGGGAGCTCCATGAGTTGTCAGTCCGCCCCTGGTATGCAGTGTTACTGAATGTTACCCCAACATGTGTTTGGTAAATTCCTGTTTTTCTGCTCTGTATAACTACACTGCTCAAAAATGAAAGGAACACTTTGAAAACACATCAGATCTCAATTGGGAAAAATATCATGCTGGATATCTATACTGATATGGACTGGGTAATGTGTTAGGAACTTAAGAATGCCCCATCGTTTGATGGAAATGAAAATGATCAACCTACAGAGGACTAAATTCAAAGATACCCCGAAAATCAAAGTGAAAAAATTATGCAGCAGGCTAGTCCATTTTGCTGAAATTTCATTGCAGCAACTCAAAATGGTACTCAGTAGTTTGTATGGCCCCCACATACTTGTATGCATGCCTGACAATGTCGGGGCATACTCCTAATGAGATGACGGATGTTGTCCTGGGGTAATTCCTCCCAGATCTAGACCAGGGCATCACTGAGCTCCTGAACAGTTTGAGGTGCAACCTGGTGGCGTCGGATGGACTAAAACATGATATCACAGAGGTTTTCTATTGGATTTAGGTCAGGCGAGCGTGGGGGCCATTCAATGGTATCAATTCTTTCATCCTCCAGGAACTGCCTGCATACTCTTGGCACATGAGGCTGGGCATGGTCGTGCACCTGGAGGAACCCAGGACCTGCTGCACCAGTGTAGAGTGACAA